TATATATATATATATATATATATATAAATAGATAGATAGATATAAAATAATTAAGCTTTAAGAAAAAAAAATAAGAATATCAATGTTATTATATAAAGGAATTCCTCTTGGTGTCCGTCTCTTATTTTCTATTTTATTTTGTATATAACAGTTTTTAAAATCGAATAAGGTGTTTACTATTTTATCCTTAATTGACACTTTTTTAAAATTTAATTTTTTTCCTGATTTGACTATTTTTTTAAATGCAACTATTTTTTAGTCTAAAATAGCTATTTATAACAGAAAAAATTCTACAAAATAAATAAAATTCACTTGTAATAAGAATGAAAAATTAATTAATATTTTTAAAATAATAATAATAATAATTTTATTATTTTTTGTTCTCGTAAAAAGAAATAACATACATAAGTTACTCGCATGTGTTTTTACTATAGTAATTAATAAAAGGAATATAATATACTATAATTTGTGCAATTGAAATTTTTCATACCAAAAATACCTAAACACAATAGTTAAAGAAACAAAAACGAAATTAAGTTTATTTTATATATTGAAAGAATTATTTTTTGGATTGTGTGGCATGATTTTATCTCCAAAAGTTGTGTTTCTTTAAAGGAAACTGAAATAATAAAATAAAAGAACTTTAAAATTTCACGTAAACAAACATTAAGAACCTCTAAAGACATATTCCGTAATATATCATTTTTTAAAAACACATCCTCAGTTTGTTGATAAATAATTTCAAAAAATTAGGTTTTTTATATTCTTTTTATTTAATTATATTTTAAATAAGTTTTACTAAGAAATTCGTTTAATTTTACTTGAAAAATCGTTATTCGATTTTAAAGGAACCATATGTTATGAAAAAGGTTGTCTTATAATAACTATTAGATAATATATATGATAAGTTTATTAAGTAGATGTATCAGGACCTATGAGTTACGAGTTTAGATACTAATAATGAGTTTGAAATCTTGAAAATAAGAGATCTCGATATTGTTTTTAATTAAAAAGTTTAAAAGGTAATAAATTTATTAATTTTTTCTTTATATATTTATTTTTTTTTCTTTAACAAAATCATTTACCTCATAAAACAATGTTAAAAAAATCATGTATTGACTTTTTTTTCTTTATATGTTTAATCCAGTCATTAATGTAAGATTCTTATCTAAATTTGGAAGAAGGGTTGTATAAAATTTTAATTATCTAAAATAATGCTGGTGTGTTACATCTAAATTTTAGTTATCGAAATTTTAATTTAAAGGAACATCTTTAAAATAATAATAATAAGAAGAAGAAGGTTTGTCTTATAATTTTATAATATCGCATCATTTTTGTAAAAGACATCTTTAGTTTTGTTGGAAAATAATTTCAAAAAATTAGCTTCTTTGTATTATTTTTATTTAATTATATTTTAAATAAATTTTACTTGAAAATTCCTAATTTTATTTTAAAAAAGGCATCATTTATTAAAATGGTTATCTTATAATATCTCTTAGATAATATAAATAGTAAGTTTATGGAGTGGATGTAGCCGGACCTATGAGTTAAGAGTTAAGATACTAACAATAAATTTGAAATCATAAGTCACATAGATTAAAGAGATCTTGGTATTATTTTTAATTAATTATTTTAAAAAGTAATAAATTTATTAAATCATTTCTTTTTATGTTTAATTAAGTCATTAACATAAGTCACACACAGCAGTATAAATGTAAGATTTTGGAGAGTGTTGCATCAATCAAAATCAAAATAAAAACAAGAGTGAAACAGAAAGAGAGTGAAAATGAAGAGAGTGTCAACATCAGTTTTTGGTTTGGGAGTTCTGTTGCTCCTCACAGTTGCAGCCATGAAACCAGTGAATGGATTTAGCTGTATGGAGGCAAAACTTTCATTGTTGCAATGCTTACCTTTTCTGACGAGCAGTCAAGATAGCCCTTCAACTGCTTGTTGTAATGCAGTGAGCAATGTGAGAGCTTCAGCACCTACAAAACCTGAACTTCGTGAGGCATGTCAATGTCTCACGGCAGCCGTCGGTGAAGTTCCTAATCTTGACAAAGATAGAGCCGTTCAACTTCCTATACTATGTAACGTTGACGTCGGTTTTCCCCTCACCAAAGACATCGACTGTAACACGTAAGATTCCTTTTTTATTTATATTTTTCTTAATTTATACATACTCATAGTTCTTATTATTCTTTTATTTTTGTTCACATTTTATTTTTCAGGATCTCTCTTTGAGCAAGAGTTTTGAGGATGAAATGGGACATTGAAAATACTGGATTATGCTTTGAACTTCCTTTCCGTGAAAAAAAAAATAAGATTGTTTTCTCAACTTGTTCCATAGAGGCATTTTTAGTAATGATTATTTAATAGATATATCTGTTCTTGGTATCATTTTCTTCATAAAATCTCGTCATTTTATTATGATGTATGGTTTCAATATTTGAGATTCACCTACTTAAACAAAATAATCAAAATTAAACTATTGAAAAGAACTCTTCAACTATTATATTACGATAAGAGTACGTATTCAGTGTAAAAACTTATATGAACGGAAACTATAAATTTTTCAAAAGAAAAAATTATCCAACAAAGGATTTTTATCCTAATTTATATTGCTACATCACTCTCATTTTATATTGGATCAACTAAAATATTTTATTTACCCATGTTATTAAGGTGATCATTGTAAATAAGAAAAGAACACAAACAATAAAAAACAAAGGAAAGAATAAGTTAATGTGCAAAAAGAGCAATCATACAATAAATATACAAATATCAACATTTGTAATAACGCATATTAATCAATCCTAAAACATACAATTATTCATACTAAACTCGACCATCAGTATACACGTATTGATATAAGACTCTGTCAAGTTATGCACTTGTGGTTGACTCTAATATTATATAGAATATTGTCATTGAGTTTCACCGAACCCCACATAAGATTAGTCAGTTAACATCTTTGGATAAGGTAAAGTCACTAAACAATAATTTTCTACTCCTCTCATCACATACCTCACCCTCTTTTATATTATATTAGATGATTATTAGAACGATATAATAACTCTTAATATAAAATTCATATATCAATACATACATTACTTGAATTACAAGAATTTTTTCTAGAAATTTCTTGCATAATATTTAGCATACATATTTTCTACCACCATGTTATCAATCCATCATACATAATAAAATCAATAAAACAATAATATTTTCACTTTACTTCATCTTATCTTTTAATAATTTATTAACTATAAAAGTGAGAAGTTAAAATTCTTTTAAGATAAAACACAAATTCTAAGGTCAAGAAAGCAAAAGGAGATAGAAACATAATGCGTTTTGTTTGAACATCTAGACCACCTTTCAAGAAAACGAAAAAAAAAGTCATTAAATATTCGCAACAAGATCATTAAATATAAAAAACCATTAGAAAATAAAATTAAAAAAGATAAACAAAATGTAACTCATACTTCATCATTCTGCGGATCATACTCCAAAGAAAAGGAAAAGAACAAAAAGTCATGAATAGTCATAAATAACGTAACCTGATGAAAACTCATAACGCAGCATGAATGTGGCTATAAAAGCAACATCTCCCTCAGTGTTCCATTCATCCAAAATCAAAACACAAGATTGAATAACTTAGATAGAAACCTGTGTGTCAAAATGAAGACCGTCTTTCTATCATTCTTCACTCTGCTAATTCTGTTAGTCTTCACAGTTACTGCCACAAAGCCATCAAAAGGCTTAACCTGTGAGCAGGAGAAAACCTTAGTGAAGCCATGCTTAGAATATCTAACAAAGAAAACTGATGCCCCTTCAACTTCTTGCTGCGATGGGATGAAACAGATCATAATTTCATCACCTACGAAGGAAGAAAAACGTGGTGCATGTAAGTGCCTAAGGGAACAAGGCTCTCAGATTCCTAACCTAGACAAAGACAGAGCCAATAATCTTTGCAAAGAGTGCAAATTCATGTCCAGTGACTTGGATTGCCAAAAGTAAGACTTCTTTTTTTACTTATACAATTCATCTTAATACCTTTCTCTCGTTTGCTTTTTCCTCACATTGCTTTTCCTTTCTTTTCTTTTTCTCAGACTTGATTAAGCTTGGAACTGTGGATTATGCTGGGAATTTTCTATTTCTGTAACAGAATAACATTGTTTGTTCAACTTCTGTCAACAAACATTTATGTTGAAATCAATGATTAATGAATATGCTTTATATATATTGTTGCTGTCTTCTATTC